ACTTACGTTACGTTAGTACGGTAGACGACAACGCGACGACGTACGACGACGACGTACTACTACTATATATATATATATATATATATATATATATATATCTATAGTTATATATACTATTATATATAGTATATACTATATATATATATATATATATATATATATATACATATATATATATATATATATATACTAGTGTATGGGGCACGTAACAGCAGCATCCAGCACACGGTTGATTTCGTCCACCTCTTCGTAATCGTACTCGTAATCACCACTATCTGTACGTACCCACGAAGTGCTCATAGAGGAACCCATATCCGAACCATTCCCAGTATTGGCCCAAGACCCCGCCCTCGTTGATGCATTCCTTCTCGAGGACTCCATAGGGTCTACCCATGAATCTGCTAAAGTAGAGTGGCTGAGTCTGGGCTCGTCCATGGCTATTCCTCGTGAGTGTGTGTCTGTGTTGGTGCACGTAGTGTATACAGAAGATGGAGGCGATGCAGCCACCTTGACGTAGTGCGTGACACGAGGTCTGTGATGTTTGGCTTGAGGCTGTTGTTGTTGTTGCACTTGTACTTGTTGCTGTCGATTTTGTTGGTGTTGATGTTGTTGTTGTTGTACTTGTACTTGTTGCTGTCTCTTTTGTTGATGTTGTTGTTGCATATGTGACTGCTCGTGTGGGTTGCGGGTCCTTTGCTGTGGTTGAGGGGTGGTCTCTGCCGGTGGGTATGGACGCGAAGTCCTCGCCTGTTCTTGTGTATGTTCTTCCTCATAGCCATCGTACGCCTGTGGTCGTGGCTGTTGGTATTGTTGCGTGTCTTTCTGTGTATAACTACTAGTTTGGAGTGGTGTATCGTTCTGAATATGCTTACTACTTGTTTGCGGCGCTAGTTGCTGTGCGTGGGCCGGTATTTGTACATTCTGTGTGCGAACTTGATCACTAAACCCACGAACCCCTTGTCGCTGTTGATCTACATACACCCGTCTATCCACATCCCGTTGTTGTTGGTGGTGGTGGTGTTGTTGTTGTTTCTTTCGTTCTCGTGCTTCTTGTACTGGGTGCTGCTGTGTTTGTATATACGTATGTGGTTGCATAGCAACCCCGTTGGCAACCCTAGTAGCACCAATAACCGGGTCTTCGCGTATCGGGCTGATCTCAGTGAGGCCTTGTGCAATTATCGCGTGTGCTTGGCGTTGTGTAGGTCCTTGTCCTGGTACGAATACGTAATCTTGCAAGTGCCCCTGTATATGGGAGTCAAGCCAGCTTAAAGGCGTTAGCACCTTTTGAGTTGTTTACATGCTATAGTCACCATACCCGTGCGCAACTCACACGACCGGGGATTCCATCTTTGCATATACCATATACCCTATCCGTAGGCTAATGTGTTCATGGATGTCACTACACATAATTGCATATTTGTTCTAAAGCGTAGTTTGTCTGTGTGGCTAGGGAAAATTCCCCATAGTTTATTCGCAGGTATCATTCCCGTCTCGAAGTTGACGCTCTGCTCTATCGCAGTAGATGTCGCAGTTCATATCGCCATCTTACTATTGACTTCTCTCTCGATGGTTTTCCTGATCCCAGTGGACCATCTTTCTGTCGGTTGCTTTCAACACTTACAACAATGTTAGTTATTGTATTCAATGCTGTAATATCTCTCCTGTCTCCTGGTCTTATAATACACCTATGATACACCCCTCTGCAGTACTTGATACACCCCTCTGCAGTACTTGATACACCCCTCTGCAGTACTTCCAGTCTGTGGCACGTAGTACCGCCGGACTGATCAATGATTACATAGAAGGTAATATACATCTATTTACATACCAATCTATTTATATCACATGGTCTGCCATTAACTTCTGCACATATTCGGCGCCTTTTGCATCACCATTGCCACATGAATACTGCCACTATTTCGGATCAGAAAGCCCTCGTCATCTGATCAGGTCTATTTTGGGCACTACTGCTTCTGCTAGCAGCACAACTTCACGGTCACACTATCCCCATAATCTCGAGGGTGTTGCCGGTTCCGTTGGCACGTTTATATTCTTGGTTGCCCTGGCTTCACTGTCCATGCCCGTGTCCGTTGGTGACACTCCTATACCTACACCCATACTTCTACCACATATGCTATTCCAAACCCCCCACCCCACTCCGCCGCTGAACCCCAGGCCTGAGTTAACCACCGTGTTGTGTAGCGCTCGCGCCACATTGCTACTGTCGCACGGATACACCGCAACCTCTTGAAAAGCCTGCACAAGGCCACAACCGCTATGCTGGATCGGCACCTCCCTACCTCTAGTTAGTGGTGTAGTACTTCTACTGTGATTTGATTGCTCATCCGCGTCTTCGACTTGAGCTGTACACTCGGACTCTCGATGGGTATCGGTGTGTACGCCTACCGCTACATTCCCAGCTATAGGCGGAAGTTCACTGCCGTCACTAGAAGTCGCCGTGGAGTCCCTGTCCTTGCATGTAAGCCCAGTACGAATACTCGAACTCAGCGTAACTGGCGTATCCCGTTTCCTACGTTTTGCGTTGCTGCCACGCAGACAGCTGCTACTTTCGGGTCTAAGCTTAGTCGCATAGAGTGTGATCCTATTACCGCCGGTACTATCTACTACGGCATTATCAGTCGGGTGTGTAGAGCTACCACCCATGCTACTGCTATTCTCACTAACAACATTTTTCCTAGTCATGTGCGTCGTGGTATTGCTACTGCGACTGAGACTGCTACTTCTGGCTTCATCACTATTCACAATAGTATCCGTACCGCTACTACTACATCCCTTCCTATCTTCAATAGTGCTACCAATCTTATGCGTACTCATACTATGACAACTACCTTTGTGTACAACCGCATTCCTGATCACACTTCTCCCTTTGCTAGCAAACGTATCACTGCAAGTCATGTTATCTGAACAGTCACTACTCCTTTGCGACTGTGGGTAATCTCGTACAATAGACGGACTCTTACGTACCGTTTCATCCCGGTTTAGAATCGGCTTGTGGTTGAGGGCAAACAGTGCGATGTAAGTGTCGCGCTGCCACTCTTCAGCCATCGCAAAAGTCGACTCCAGTAGTGACAAGCGCTTCACCCTGGAAATGTATTAAAAAAATGCACTCTTTAAAGTGTAGTCACATAATACATATTCATGCATCAATTAAACGACTCCCCAGTTCAATACAGAGGACAACTATACTAAAATGGTAAGGGGCGACAAATACCTTTTGAAACTTGTCATGTAATACACAGCCATATATTGGCCGTTATATATATATATATATATATATATATATAGTGCATATATATATATATTTATATATATATATATTATATATATATATAT